GTACACTTGAAAATGGTAAAGATACTCACCTTGGTCATCTATTTAAAAAAAAAAAAATGGTAAACACGGTTAATTGTATATTTTACCTCTATACAAATATTTTTAAAAGAAGAAAGAAAAACACAAAGAGAGTTTAATAAATAACTCTAAGCTCAATAGGAATCAACAGTATGCACCTTTATTGCTTCTCGGCCTTTCGGCTAAGATCAAGTGTAGTATCTTTTCTTATCAGTTTAATATCTGATACGTCCAAAAATTAAAAAAAACAAACAAACAGTATTGTGCACCTTTAAAACACTAATGTAATTTTAAGCTGAAGTAATAGAAGTGTAGCATAAAAATGGTGACAGTTCTGGGCAGCACATTTTAAGACATGTATTGAAAAAATGGAATAAATCTAGAAGCAGGTATATGTCTTGCATTAGGAAGAGCCTACAAAACATGTGAAAAGCAAAGAAATTAGGTTTGGTTATTTTGGAAGAATCCTGAAATTTCTGAAATAATATTACACATAAAGAAGAGCAGGCTTTTATGTTTATTTCAGGAAGCCAGATTAGAATTAATGGGTAAAAGTTAGAAAAATGTAGAATTTAGTTCAACATAAGGACAACCTTTCCAACAACTGTGCTGTTAAGTTATCATAGAAAATAATATATTTACCCATCATTACAAGTATATAAATGAGACCTTCTAGAACTTTTTGTTGATTGGAATAATGTACTAAATGGCCTGTCTCTCTTCATCTGCAGAAATTATGGTTCAATATATTTGTGTACTGTACAGTACAGTTTTCTAGCAAGTAAAGCATCATTTTTGGGAATGAGCCAACCAGGAAGTGATTTATTTTAAACATATCTATCAATCCCTTATGAGTATCCTAAATATTTTCAGTGTTATGCAACACTAAATCATTACTTTTAAGCAATTCATCATCATATCAGGAAGTAATAAAAAAGTGAAGAAACTATTAAGATTTAGCAAGTTGAGAGGAATCTAACAATGCAATTAGAAGTTTTCTTAATTTTAAGAACTGATTACAACTTTTCGTGTAGTAAGACTAATCAGGTAATATATGAAACTAGAAAACAGTTTTTATTATTTTGTGACTATTATTATTAAATAAAACTATAGAATGAATGATAATATATCGGTTTTAAGCATAGAAAATAAATTTGTTGTTTAAGGAAGAATATACCTTTAAAAAATATTTCTTGGGCCGGGCGTTGGTGGCTCACAACTGTAATCCTGGCACTCTGGGAGGCCGAGGCAGGCGGATCGTTTGAGCTCAG